ATAGTATTATTTAATTAATTATAAAATTATTAGTAGAGCCAATTCTATGTAATATTTTATGAGTAAAATATTGATTAGGTACCTACTTAAATTTTAGGAACCATTTCACTTAGGCACCATTATATATATTATATTATATATTATATATTAGTACAGGCTACTGATACTATAATTGATGTACCTATATAATATTTTTTATGATGGTGATTAGATTTATATACATTTCAAAGACAAAGCACTACTTTTTTGCCAAGAAGAAAGTATCTAACCTTTATTGTTTTATTTTATATTTTTATACCACGAGGAATCACAAGTGGAATTTTTGATATCCACAATTGTGRTCTTGCAGTTCCTTACTTATTTRAAAGCACARGCACGTATCTTGAAAATATTCCCAAGAGGGCCGATATTTTTTGGTCTACGTATCTTGATTCCACTCATAGTTCACAGACTCACGTGGACTTTTATCACTCTTCTTCCATTTATAATCCTCGGGACTAGTATAAGAATCAAGTAGAAAAACAAAAATTTAACTTCCGAGGGTATTAAGATGTTCAGACAAAGAAAAAATTATACATTTTGTTATATTTAACGTAAAATATAACTGTTTTCATATCATATGTGTAAATAAGTGTACACCTTCCTAATTAAATTAAAAAATGAATAATTATGTAAGTATTCTATAAATTGTGTCCTATAGGCTATAAATACCACATTAAATACATTATTAATTTATCAAACAACGATAAAACTATAATTAAATATTAATTTATATTTTTATGATTGGTCTTAATGCCTCCACTAAGATTTGGAACTGAAAATGCATTTTTCTTTGTGAGCTTATTAATCAAATATTAATGTGTGAAGTAAATTAATAACAACTAAAAAGTATTAATAGTGTATGTTGTGATAACTCGTTATATAAGACTTTCAAGAACACGAAAAACCATCTAGATTTTGGGTCCTACCGACGTKACCATTATATTGTTGTTTGACTAGTATGGTGTTACGTTTTCATCACTCGTTATAAAATATAAAATATATTAATAATTTTTCGTTGATTTTTTTCTTTTCATATCTATCAGATATCTTATTTACTAATATATTTTTCCTAAAAACTATTACACTTACATAATATCAATACATGATATCAATTAAAGGATGTAAGCCACAAATCAAATCTGAGATCACCGAGAAAAGGTTAAGAAGAAATAAAAAAATAATTAATAATGTATATTTTATTATAAAATTAACAAAGTATTGAAAATTGTATCTTGTGAAAACATTTAATTTTAATTTTTGTTTAAGCTAACTATGAATAATATGTAGGTAAAACATTAAATTATAAATATTAAACTATAATCAGATAAAATTTGTATGTATATTTTGTAAAAAAAAAAATGCTTAATATTTAATTATATCTAGTTACCTATATAAAAAAAAATTGCAACTCCCAGTTAAAACGTAGGGACTATCTCACCAAGTGGATATCTACTTCTTGAAAATATCGATTTCATTAAGTACGTGTGTGTGTGTGTGTGTTTGTGTTTGTGTATGTCATATACTATAAATTATAAATTATACCTAATCAAGACTCTAGAGGACCACAAGGGTTGAGATGYTGGAGGGAGAATCATTACAAATTACAAATTTAAATTGTTATTATAATCATAGTACAAAATAGATATATTATTACATTAAGGGCTAGTTGTACCGTCTCTGATTAAAGTTAACCGGAGTTTAATCGGCYGAATTTGCAYGGTTAAATATCTGTTATCAGCTGATTAAGCGTAATCGAAGTTTAACCGTAGACGGTACAACTGGCCCTAAGGTCAGTGGTGGATCAATGTTCCTGATTGAGGCGAGTTATGAAAAAGTYATGTGTTAAAATATAAAATAGTGATAACGTTTAATAATTATTTGCAAATTAACTTGTATTTGTAGATTTTATAGGTTGTACAAGGCACAAGTATTTAGTATTACATGATTTATTTTTAATTGTTTCATTAWTTATTTACCTAACATATACGACAAAATTAATCAACTCTTATGTGAGAAAATGCTGAAAATATTGAAAAAAGAAACAGTTTAATTTATTACAAACCATCTAAAACTAAATATTTATTTAAAAACTTCGAAAGAGACCCCGTCGACACCCCTTCAGACATGTACCGACGTCGCCGCAGGTATCATGCAGAGATATTACAAAAAAAAAAACGTTGAAGTGTTCTTAAAAAAAAGAAAAATGCTCACGTCAGTGAAAATTAATTTGKTAAGGACATTTAAAATAAGTTCCWACCCCTCTCAACACCCTCCTACAGTTTCTACACCGCAGATTTAGGTACCTATATAACATGTTGTTTAACAATAATATATGTTGACTACATCAGGCTGTACTCATATTATAATCATAGACTTATAGAAATAGATGGAAGATTAGGTTTGAAAAAGCGTGCACGTTTTACTATCTTGGAGCTTGTGACGAGGACCATCACATCTGATAGAACATCTGATCTTCTATCTTCGAAACAATATATACTTCCATTTCTCTCATCACTTTTATGATGATTTCCAGCAATCTTTCTTACTACCTACGTTTGGCACGACAACGACTCCCAGCAGTTCTCTGGGTAAATGTTTTGTTTATTTCTATACAAGTCTATGACTATTATACAACTCTATCACGAGTGGCCAGCACGTCAGAACTTGAGCAACGCGTCTGTGTCTCGTATGATGTCATTGACGTTTATAATCGAAAACGAATGTGGAGCGGTGGCGTTCTCTCGGTCTGCAGGGATTGACGACCTCCGATTATCGACGGTCTTCGACAGGTCCACGAAGCGCATGTGACGCTTGTTGGCGTTTGCCCTGTTCGGGTCGTCGGATGGGGGCCACGAAGCCTTCAGAGCGCTGCGAAACGAGTCTTTGATGTCCACCAGTTTCAACGCGAGCGATTTCTTTTTGATTTTCCTCTTAAACAACGGGTGAGTCTCACGTTGTCGGCACAACACAGTTTTCCGTTTTCTGTCTCGTTTCTTGACGCACTTGGTGGCGGCGTCTTGCGGCGTCAGCACGCCGGTCGATTTGAAGTAGTCGAAACACGCAAGCACCACGCACCGGCCGATGGTATAAACTGTGGGACTCGTATGTAAGGAAAGTCTACGAAAACCATTTGTTTGATCGTCTTAAATTATCTTAAAATACCATATTTAAATAACTTACTAAATATGCTTTTGAAAATTCATAAACTATAGAAAAAATTATAGCAAGGAAGGTACTTATTGGGTAAAGTAGGTACTTGTAAATAACTGGTTAGAATTGTTTCGCATTTTTTATTTATTTATTTTTTTTTTTTTTATCAATATATTCCAATTTTCTCCTATAAAATATCATTATATAATATTTAAAGAGTTTTATCATAAGCTCTATAGAACATTCCATTGAATAGGTAGGTACTCAATTAGTTTAATAAAACAATGGATAAATATGTATTTATACCATAAGAAGGTGTTTTTTTTACGATAGTAACATTACTCTGATAACATCAAACAAAAATAAAAATAGCTRAAATGGTATTATATCTATGTAGATTTTTCAAAATTTTCTCAGACATGGAAAATAAGTATGCATCATGTGAGTAAAATTCCCTTAACCACCAAATAAAATGATTTGATAAGCAAAATAAACTTTTTTATGTGTATTATATTATATTGATTAATTCGTTCACAATGATTGTTAGTCGCGTTAAGCTCAATAATTTAGTGTGCAGGTACTTAAAAAATATTATATAAAAAACATATTATTATTCTTATTAGTATAAACTATAGAGAATGCTACACCCGCACGTTTTGTCTTCGTCTAATAAACGTAAAACATAACAAAAACTGTTTTGTGCGGGGAAGAATCAAGTAAGCTACAGACATAACTATAAGAAACGAAATTTCCATCATATAAAAATGAGAATTTTGGCTGTGAAATATCGTTTTTATTTTTTCTATAACGGAGCCACAAAAAAAAATTTTACAAGTTTGAAAAACGAAAAAATAATGGATTTTGAAACAATAAGAACTTTTTTYGTATAAGTGATATCATAAAAAATGAAAACGATATTTCATAGATAATGTTCTCAAACATATCGTATATAAATTTGGAGTCTTAGCTATCATTACAGCCCGAGTGCTTCTATCCCGCGCAAAACAATGTTTTTCATATGGTGTACATTTTTAGATGAAGATAACACATGCGGGTGAAGCGTCTTMAAGAATTTATTATATAACATGCCGCCTACGATCGATAACTTGTCTACTGTGATTTTTTTGTTGATTTGAAATCACGGTAAAACGAAAGTTTCATATTAGAGATTCCTATAGCTATAACACATATAATACACATTTCGACCATAAATATAATACCGAAAATATTAAACGAGTCTGAAATGTATATGAGTGACATTTATATAAATATCTAAATATCTAAATATCTTGTAAATCACATCTTATGTCTCTTGTGCGACTATTGATTATAGTACCTAATACGAGTAACATAACATCTGCATTACTGCGATCCATCATCATTATAATATTATATTATATGACGCTCGGATTGCTGTTAACAGATAATTTTCGACCACCACCAATAAGTACATGTGTATGTGCGTATGTAATTTTCCCCAAAATATAAAAATTAATTTTAATAATTTGCAACACGACAGAAAATGAAATGGAATGTGTATAATCACACCTTTAACTTCGATAATTGTTGGTAAATTTATTGACATCTCATTATCTATACGATAATACAAACTCATACCCTATATGGCCTATATAATATTGGTATGTTCTACTACTAATAAGTAGAGATGGGATCGATCACGTCTAATCCAAGTCTAATATTAGATATATAAAAAAATCGAATAATATTGAACAGCCAACAGCATTTACGTAATATTTACAGTTAGTTCCATACTATAATCGCGTTTTTAATATCCGGAATTATACTTATAAATTACATAAAGTAGGTATACGTACTATAATGCTGATATATTTGTATTTGTAATAGTTGTAATATGATTGATTTTTATATGTTTTTAATAACTAGAATTGTACCTATTTAATATTTTTGATAATTTTCTATTAATATAACTATTAAAATGAACTTGATTGATCAATGAATAAAAATACAATATGTTAATTTTTWAAAAAAAATTGTTTAGTTATTTTAAAGTAGTGAAAATTACAATTTTTGAAGGTATAAAATGGTGCAGATTACATAATATCCTTTTATTTTGTTTTATGTGGCACAAATTATAAAATTAAAAAGTGGCGCAAATTACCAAAATTAATTTTTAAATGTGGCGCAAWATATATATATTTTTTGGGGGGTTTGTATTTGGCACAAATTACACACGTCCTCGCAGCGAAACGAATAACAATGAAATATGGATATACTGCTCAATAGCGCGTTCAGGTAGGGTATACCCTTCTTCCCATACCATCCCGCTCACACAGCATAAGATGGCGGTATTTGTTGAAATTTCCGAAACTTTACAAAACGAACGAGGTGTTTATAGCGCAACTTCTGGTAGGTATTAACTCTTGTGCAATCACAATCTGGCCTATTGAGATAATTTACGTATTCAAACAACCACTAACCGATCCTTGTAAATCGAACTAATTACATATATATTATACCTAAACTATCACTACTTGATTAAGGAATTATATCAATAACTATCAAAACGGTTATGATTTCTCTTTGTCTTGACAAAATTGAATATATAGAATAAATAGGTGTATGTATAATTATTGTAAGGGACGACAATGATCGCTATGATACATTAATGCAGTATCTACTTCAAGGGACCACTCGTTAAAATAAAATAATATAGAAAAAATGTAGGTTAAAAGTAAGTTTTTTAACTTTTAACTTTTACTAATTAAATTTAAAAAACTAACTTATTTTTATTAATAATCTGAAACATTTTTTAAACTGAATACTTATAATATAATATAATACTCCAAAACACAATTACCAAATTACGTCTATTTAAATATCGAAGTGGGATATCTGGTAGGTAGTGTTGTTGTGAAATTTGAAATGTTTATAAGAGATTGCAGTTTTTTATGAAAATATATGTATTTTTATGCAACGTTATTTTGATCMCTATTGAAATCCAGAAAAGTGCATTCAACAGTTCGAGAGACTATAATTTAGTATTTACAATACATTGGTATAACACTAAAATTTATAAATTATACCTATTTCCCATTTTTCTATAAAATATGTACTTGTATTAAACAAAATATATTTTATCTCAATGGACTATGGATACAATATAATTTATAATGAATATAGCCATTTTGTTTTAAATTTAAGTTCTTATTTTTATACAAGGAAACAAATAAATTTAACGAGACTAAAAAATTAATCAATTGATTGTTAATAATTATCATGGAAAAATGTAATTAAATATAATTTACTACTAATTTAAAAAAAAAGAACTTGTTATAATATAAATCAGTTAAAAGTTTAAAAAACTTGAAACTTGATAATAGTTATAGAATTAGGTTTTTTTTAACTACGATATGTTAGTATTTTAAAATTATTTAAATTGTAACCTTCGTATTTTATCAAATTTATGGATTCTATCAATGTCATATTAATGTATAGTAGGTATTAGGGTTTATCGTACAAATTGTTTTATCTAATTTACATAATTTAAAATATCAAAATCATTGGTAAAACAAATTTTTTGTAAAATTTGAGTAACTTCTTCAAAAATCGTATTTTGGCTGTAGTTGCTTACACCATTGWGTATATTAGTACGTTTAATCACTGATTAATGCTTGTAATTAATTTAATTTCATAGTTTACAAATATAATAAAAATGTCAATACTGGGATTTAGTATGGTATAAAATATTTTGTACCTATGTTTAAACATACAAAATATTAATTAATTGATTTGAAATAAACAAAAAAATACTTACTACTTGAGTATACTTATATATAAATATTAACTATATAGAATCAACTTATAGTGTTGATGTTAGTTAMCTACTTTAGACTAAAAGCATCTATCAATTATCAAAGAATAGCAGGTTACTAATATTAGGCCAAGGTAATAATATTATTATCTTAGACATTTCCCAGTGATTTGTTATTATTATTTAATTGTCTAACATTTTTATATTATTTTTTGAAGTATTTTCAGAAATACAAAAGTAAAAAAAAGAAACTGATAAAAAAATTACTCTAAAAATAAATTTGTAAGATTGTAAGAGTAATATGCAATCACATTTTTTTGCCAATCCACTCAAGTACATAACATAATGTTTTGTTATAATACGAATGTTTTTGTTTTTCTACCCAAGAATGTCGTACAGAAACTTACATAATACATTTTTTAACAATGAACATTTTTTAATACAACTATAATATTGATACTGATACACATTAATTAATTGATTGGAAGATTTTTCAGTTATATTAACTTTGTAGTTTGTATTTTATTTAATGCTAATTTGGCATTAATTTTGTCACCTGATATGGCCGAAAACAAGAATAAAACTAAATTCCAAATGGTATTCATGTTTCGTCTCAGATACATCGCTGGTGATTCTATGTTTGACATAACGATAATTATGGCAGTGAATTTAATATAACAAAGACCTTAAAAAATGCATTTAAAAATCTCAAAAAGTCCAATATAAAATACGCTAAAAATCATTTAAAGATGCATTTAAAAAATATGATACGTACCTTATATAAATCTTTCAAATTCAATTATTAATTAGAAAAAAACTTAATTTTTAATAATTTTCATTTGTTTTGCACGAGACGAAAATTAAAAATAAATAATAATTCATAAATACGTGTAAAAGTTTTAATCAATGGAAATTGTTTAGAAAATTCCATCGAAAAAATGATCTAATGAAAAATGAAAAATATACATATTAAAATGACCTTCAACTTGAAAAATGTCTTAAAATGCTGAAAAATGCTAATTAAAAGAWTCAAAATTGAATTAATCGGTACCTAGTACAGACTTTGTGTTAAAATTGTCACGTTTTGCAATAACCTAACTGACGGAAACATATAAACTTGGTGATACGTTTAAACATAATAATAATATATAATATTGTGATTTAGGTATCATAATGTACAGAGCGTGCATATAATAATAACATGTGTCGAGAATTTTCCCGGAAACGGCACAAGGTGCTGATATTATTATCATTATWATCGTTATTATCGAAACACATCCCAAAACAAATACAAAGGATACAAGAATCTTCCGTGAACGGAATCATCGTATTTGGCGAAACTCTGAAGCCGTACTGCGATACGAACAACGTATAACAATTGACTTTTTCCTTCAACGATTGACACAGAAACCTGCAACAAAAAGTTTACGGTCTTACTACGTGTTTGATATAATTTAATATAATTATACAGCCGTCGATCTGTGGCTTATACGTTATGTTATTATCTATTGCAGTGGTCTTCAACCTTTTTGGACTCGCGACCCACGTAAGCTTTATAAAAAATCGAAAATTGCTTAATACTTTGCAATAGTACTATTAAATTTGAATGAATAAAAATAACATTTTAATAGGTAGAATATTATTATTAATTGAAAATGTATAGATTTCATATGAAAATATAAAATAAAATGAAAATATGATACAAAAAATGTATTAACATTTATTATACTTCGTYCTTAAACACAGCAACAACATCGATGATATTCGTAGATTACGGGACTCTAACGATAACAATGTATATTAATTCTATTAATAACACAGTTTATTCGTTAATTCTTATCTCAATAAATTACTATCTTACTACGTACAATCATACCAGTCTAATATGAAACATTATACCGTGATTTAATATTCATTATAATATTATAGAATAGAATATAGAATAACAATAAATTATAAAATATTGTTGATACAATATAATACACAACATACACTACTATTTTTAAAATATATTTTCATTTATTAAATTTCTAAATTTAATTATTAAAAAATTATTTTTTTACCTTTTATAATATTAAAAATTTTATTTTTATTTTAAAAAGAAGACTTATCGCGACCCAATTTTAAAGCTTACGCGACCCAAAAATGGGTCGCGACCCACCGGTTCTACCCACCACTGATCTATTGTACTGATGTTGTCTGTCGTAGTGCCTAAAATGTTTTATTCTGTTGTTGCAGCACTACAATATTATTATATTATACTAAGTAATAAGAATCGATATTATAATACAATTTTTTTTTCCTGTATTATATCCCATAA